GTCGTGTCCTTTCATTCTTAGTTCGCAGTTGCCTTCGGTGTTGTTGCTCTCGTTGTATTCTGTGTCAGGTGAGGGTGACAATCATTTACGCCATCATGGTTTTCTAAAACCCTCTAGTGGTTCTAGACGAGGGAGATGGGACACACACACACACACACACTCACACACACACACACACACACACGCACACACACACACACACACACACACACACACACACACACGCACACGCGCACGCACACACACATGCGCACACACACAAATACATACATACATAACACTCCCCCCCTCCTCATCGACGACAATGACGGGGAGGGCACCCGCAGCCACGATCTATGAGGCATGAAAGGGGGTGGCGGGAGGTGGAAGGTGGGTGAGAGCACGAACAGGACCGAAATCGTCTGCAACACACACACACACACACAAACAAACACACACACACACACACACGCACACACACACACACACACACACACACACACACACACACACACACACACACACACACACACACACACACACACACACACACACACACACACACACGCACGCCACTGAAGGGGATCCTTCCACGATGAGCCCAAACGATGAGCCCAAACTTGGTCTCCGTGTACGTGTACTCGTTGAACTACTTGTTGAACTCTTCCTCTGAGGGGTCATGTCCAACCTTCCCCCTGACGGCGCATGCGCTCCTCGCCAAGAAACCACCGGCACGGCACGCGCACACCAACACAATGCGCATACACAAGCAAACGTACAAAGAGACGATGTGTGTGTGTGTGTGTGTGTGTGTGTGTGTGAGGTGGATCCAGACAGATACACACACAGCACCAACGCCAGTTGAATCCGAGGCAACGCACGACACACACACGGAACACGATAACAAAAAACACATCGCACGCGCAGCACACTACACCTGCCATTGTGCAGCTTGGGGAGGTGGTTGCGCATGGCATCAGAGCGAGCAGACTTGGTAGTGCGCCTGTACAACAGGGAAAGAAGGCACATGTCAAGCAGCCGCACCACAACAGGTTTTGAGTGAGATTGCAGGGGAACAAGAAGCGCGAGTGGTGGTGCAGGGAGCGACACCAACCCCTCGAAACCCAGCAGCAGCAGCAGTAAACATCGAACCCCACACCGCACCACGTCACATCACACACGCATGCACAGACCTGAAGGTGACGAGGTATATCCTGTTTGCGCGGGCGGAACGCGTCGCTGCTCCGGTGTGAATGAATGAATGTCACCATGGAGAAGAGTGACATGGACACGTCGAGGCCATCACGGTGGTGGAATGCACTTAGGCCAACCTGATGCAGGTGGTGATGCGAAACAAGGCGGCAAGCAACAGCAGTCGTAGATGGTGAGCGCAGGCACGCACAGTCATGTTCCAACACACACATACACATTGTACCTTTGCAAGAATGCCGTGTTCTGCATCCCAGGGGAGACATGGTGCGTCGCTGTACTCAAACAGGATGTGGTTGCGGCCCTCATTCCAATACGCAAGTCTGCCATGCATCACATGTATTGTTGTGTGTGTGTGTGTGTGTGTGTGTGTGTGTGTGTGTGTGTGTGTGTGTGTTTGGAAGGCAGCCATGAACACAGGTCCTCTCACACGCACGACACCAAGAACCACAAGCACCACCAGCACCACCAGCACTACAAGCAACAACAAACCACCACCTCAGCTGGAGAGATTGCGCTCGATGGCTGCGCTCACGGGATGAATCGACTCAATGTTGTCAGAGTACTTGTCGTGCATGTAATCTTTCATTCACAAGC